CGTGAGAGGGGAGTCTCTGCCGCCGCCACAGCAAGGCACTCCGCAGGTTTATCTCAGCCTTTGTAGGGGGAACAGGGGAGGACTTCACCTGGTTAGGTTGCTGAGACATGGGACAAGAACTTATCTTCAAGGGAGAGGTGTGGTTTACTCCAGAAATTGTGTTTACTGTAAGGAGGGTGGGAAGTCAAGATTGACTTATTTCCACACACCCCCCACCCCGCCCTGTTCTTAGTGATCCCTTACAGGTCAGTGATAATTCCCATCAAAAAACTAAGCAATGCAATAACCACATCAAACCCATGGATTTGTGTATCGGGAGAACTGGGAGATACCGGCGTAATGCAGATTCCTAAAAACCACCTAGAAATGACATTTGAGGTGAGTACGTGCTCTTTACACTTTACTTTTCAATTTGAAACGTCCTTCCAAATAAACATTCATTTGGTGAGGGTTTATTGTCTTAAGATCACAGCATTTCAGATTCTGTCCATGTCTTCAAGCACACAAGGTTTTACAAGGTTTTGTGCATTCAAATCTGTACAGGAAAATAGTGCTGCCTGCCCTTCCTGTGCTAGATGGAAGTCTCCTGTGGGCACATACCACTCTTTACCACAGGCTCCACTGCTCTCCCTGTCCCAGCCCAGGGCTTCTCTTCTCACCTAGCCCATTTATTTCCACATGTCATTCCCTTCCACATCTCACTGCCTAATTTTCCCTTTCAGCACTCATTTCTGGCTCCTCATTTCCCTTCCAAGTTTCTTTTCACTTATTTCAATCTGCCTTCCCACTTACCACCAGCCAGGTCCCTTTCTACCTCTGGCCAGTCCCAAATTTCTTCTCTTCCCGTTCCAGTTCCTTGTCTAGCATTGCTACTTTCCTTCCAACCATCCAGTCTAACCCCTGAGCTCTTCAACTTCCCAGCTTCAGGTGCTACCCCTGGCAAACCATAGAGCTGCTGTCTCCATTGGGCTTTCTTCTCCATGCTTGTTGTGCTTTTCTCTTTGCATTTGACTACCCGCCGTTCCCTTCTGCTTTCCCACCCATCAGTTAACAGGTTGGCTTGGTGCCAGCTCAAGGCAGCTAGTAGCAGGAATTTCAAGGAAAGCCCCATCAGGCTCCTGTAGCTCCAGGCTGTACCGTATCCAGTAAGGAGTTATTTCGTAGGAGAATCTGCTGCCAAAATTAAAGTTGCATCCGTTGAGCATATGAGGACTGATCTTCAACAACAATAGTAAAAAAACCCAAAAACCTCTTGCCAAAATCTATGGGTAGATTTTGACAGAAATATAGAGGATCTTTTTGTGATACAATAGCTGCCTCTCATTCAGATATTACTATTTTGTAGAAAAGATCTCCAGGCTTCTAACAAACAAAATAACATATTTAGACATTTCTAAGGACCATACTAACACTGTTCTGGATTATTCCTTTGGCTGAAGCTTTCTTAAAGAATCAACTTGGGTAGCCACCCACTATGGAAAATGTCAGCCTAAGCTGCTTGTTTGGCAGTATTAGAAGCAATGAAAACCAAGCTCTTGTAAGGGAAGTGTTTAGGTGACGTTAATAGATGTTGCTGCCAGCCCCACCTACAATTACATATTACACTGGAATTCACAATCCCTTGTTTTCCTTGTTCTGTCTCTTTATGATGTTGAGTCTCATGTTAGTGATTTTTGTCTTACCCAACAATAAGCAAATTGATCTTTGAAAATAATAAAGGATTTAGCCATTGCTTCATAGTGTAGAGTTAGTCAACTGAAGGTCAGTATACTCAAAATGCATTTTTGAAAAGCTGTTTGTACTGGTTCGCTTTTTTCTACAAAAATACACCTTTTTATCACCTTAGCTCAGAAATTTGTAATTAATACTTCTCAGAAATATTCAGAGTGAGTGCTCACAAGAAAGAATGTAATCTCTTCACAAGCTTTTAATGGTTTTATTTCCGGTTATTTCTTTTCTGCTGTCTTAAAATAATTATTCTGCTTTTCAAAATGCTCTGCATGTTTGGTTGAAAATACTTGCTGTATAAATCAAAGGGAACTGAATAAAAACATACATTTGAGACCATATGTGTGCATGTGGTGGGAGTGTGTGTTGTCTGTTGTTTTTTAAATTAAGTAAAAACTGTTACTCATTTCAGTGCCAGAATTTAGGGAAGCTGACGACCGTTCAGATTGGTCATGACAACTCAGGGCTACTAGCCAAGTGGCTGGTTGATTGTGTCATGGTCAGAAATGAAATCACAGGACACACATACAAGTAAGCAACAAGTTTTAATTTTCTTTGTCTGAAATTCTAACTTGTTAAATTTAGAGAAAGCAAGAACGCATTCATCTTCTCCTTAGTGGAGCACTGTGGGCTGATTTAGGTACCCAATAAGGTTGGGTTGGTCTCCCTCACAACCAGTTCTCTCATTTCAGAAGCCCTATTTGAAGTAAATAATCTGATAAATATTAAATGAGACTCTGAGACAGGACACACAGTGTGGATACTTTTGAAGTTATTCATATGTTTGTGTCTAATAATTAAAACTCTTGATTTAAAGTAGTGTGGTAAAGTTGTGCATAAAGGAACTCTTTAAACCACCAAGAGCTGGAATGATAGTTTAGAGCAAATCATTGGTTTCTTTTTCTTTTAAAAATTTTTTAAATGTCTTTGTACTGTAACAAATGTACAGAAGCTTGGATCACAAGAAGATAGAAGGTTTTGATGATTTCTTAATCTTCTATTGAGTACATACCTCTTGTGTCAAAATGATCTCCTAACTCATCACTGGTTTTACAAAACATCTGGCTAAGCAGGCTTTTTTTTTTTTCCTAAATGTGGACTTGGAAAGGTATAATTCAGAGAGGTGAGTTCCAGAGCTCAGGATTGGGCACAGTGTATGGGGGACAGTAGGAGGAAGTGGGGTACAAGGACTGGGGATATGGACATGTGCATGGATTTCATTAGGACTGTGGATGGGTTCAAAAAGTTCAGCAATAAAATGTGAGGTGGGTTTGAGTACGAGATGTCACAGCTTCAGCTGAGTGGGAACTCTGTATGGAGATTTAATTGTTAATCATCATGATGTTTTTGAAAGCTGAATATCAGTTGTGGTTGCAAGTGAAAAATAACCCACCAGAAATCAAGATGTGGACCATGAAATATGTGTATAACACTTTCTGTTGTCCCATGCTTTCATGCAAACTTGCGTTTTTCCCTTTTCCTAAGGATGATCAGTTGTGGTGCAGGGCATGCTGCCTGCTGAGTTTGTGGTTTGTGAAAAGTCTCTGGCTACACAGTATTCCCTGCCCGTTAGCAGTGTTTATTGGGTGCTAGCTGTCCCTCAAGCTTTGAGATCAAGCTAGACTGCCTGTGTGGCTGACCTGTGCTTGTCCTGGGTGTGCGGCAGGTTTCCCTGTGGGCGATGGCTGGGAAAGGGTGTTGATGATGGCAGTTTGGAGCGAATACTCATTGGAGAGCTGGTGTCCTCCATGTCTGACGAAGAGCTGGGAAAGCAGTGCCGTACCCCACCCCAGCAGAAATCTCCTACCACGGCTCGGCGACTGAGCATCACTTCCCTCACAGGGAAGAACAGCAGTAAGTCTTTCCTTTCTCCCCAGGGCCCTAGAGAAGGAAGCAGCAACTGCTGAGAAATAAAGCTTCTGTGAACAGGAGAGCTCCTACTGAAGCAAGGCTTAATGCAGAGGAACAGCTGCAAGCTGATGAGTTTTTCCTGCCCCAGTTTGTGTCTGCAGCTTGGCCTGTGACTGTACGCGTTGCCTCTTTCAGTGTCCCCATTTGACAGTTGAGAGATAATAATCTCTTTCCATGAAGCATAGAGATGTGAGATGAGGGAGGAGGAGGCAGCAGAATTTGCAGTAGCTGATGCTGTTCAGCTTCTCAGCTCACTTTGCAGTCAGTGGGAAGACAGTCCTCGCTGAAGGACAGTTCAGAGCTTGATGTGGATGCTGTGAACTGCCTTCTGGAGGAGCACATCTCCCGAGGGACCCTAGGGGATGTCAGCTTCACATCCCTAAAATTAGCTTTCATGAGTAACTGCACCTGGCTACACTGGGGCATGGGGCTGTAAGGGCCACGTGAGGCATTCTCTGCTAAAGCATACAGATAAGCACAGCGTAGATCCTGTTCATAAATCTATCCAGCTCCTGTAAAATTAGAGGGCATGACTGCTGAAATGTCAAGCAAGGAAAGATTAGCGTCCAAGAGTAATGCAGCATTTAAAAACCACCATGGACCACTGCAACTCTTTACATGTCTGAGTCCATATTAGCTGGAGGAGTGGGCACCAGAGCATTTCCTTAGGTCTGAGAACGCTAAGGCCCAATAATTAATTTGTCTTGTGAGCTACGTGAGGCTCTGTGTTAGACCTGCCAAACACTGTGGAGGTCATCAGGTATTAAAATGATACTGAATTACTTCGTGCTTCCAAAATAACAATTGCAGGACAAGCTAATAGCAACATACATATGTCTGAAAAACTAGAAAGGACTCATAGAAGAACAATGAAAATGATTGAAGTCTGGAAAACATCTACTTAAAATGAAGTCTTAAAAGTTCAGTCTGTTTTAATCAGAAAGTGAATGAGGGACTAGATAGTTTTCTGCAGGTACCTGCATAGGAAGATGAGATGGTAGCAGGTGGAAGCATAGCATGATTCAGTAGCAGAGGCATACAGCTAAACAGATTCAGAGCAGAAATATGGCATGCATTTTAACAGAGAAGATAACTTACTCTTGGAACCATTAATAAGGAATATTCTCTGCCTGTGACCCCTCACACTGGTACAATGACTAGACGTGTGCCTAAAATAGACACTTGTTTTGGCCCAATAAAACATGAGTTCAAGTCAGGAATTAGTGAGTGCTGGGTTTTCTGGCCTCTGTCTTGTAGAAGTGAGTCAAATGACTGGGCTACAACCTTTCAGCCCATGTCTCTCTGCGTGAGGGCTGCTGTACTCTATGTAATGAGCAAGATGTGATTAACTCAAATAAAATATTTATCAAGCCAGATCCTTGGGTTATGCATTTTTAAGTAGGGCAATTTATTTGACTGTTCCAGGATTGCTCATCAGTTGCTTATAGTTAAGGCTGAGGTTTACCCAAGACAAATGGTTGCCTAAACTCTGTTAAAGATACAGAATAATTCCTGCAGGTGAAGCTATGTCATCATGAGAATTTGATTAATGTTTTAAAGTTGGGATCTTCAGCTAGTATGTTCTCCATCATTACGCAGAGCCTAATGCAGGACAGATCCAAGAGGGAATCGGGGAAGCCGTGAACAATATTGTGAAACACTTTCATAAGCCAGAGAAAGAGGTACTTGCTACTTTTCATTACTTGTCTGGTATCTACAATGCATGTAAATATTTTTATAAACAGAAATGGAACTGAAGTACCAGTAGAGACTGTTAACCTTTAGATTTGAAGCTTAGGACGTATGAACAAGACAAGTTGTACTTACAGACTCTCCCTTTCCCACAGAGAGGGAGCCTTACCATTCTGTTGTGTGGAGAAAATGGTCTGGTCGCAGCACTGGAGCAGGTCTTCCACCATGGATTCAAATCGGCTCGCATTTTTCATAAGAATGTCTTCATCTGGGATTTTATAGGTAAGCTAGTATGTGATTTGGAGGCAGAAGGGGGAGAAAGATTAGGGCAAAATGACTACGCACGCACAGACCTCAGATTCTCGTCAGCTAGGATGGCATTTGTTCCTGCCTAGCACCTGCTCCGGTCAATGAGAAACAAGATGGAAGATGAGAAATACTAAACTCTATATAAGAGATGGGTATGAATCTGTGCAGAAATTTAAGAGCACTTCAAATTCTAGTCATTTATTCATAGATGAATATTCAAACAGCTGCTTTTCTACCCAGAAAGAAGGTAGGCTGGAGGTTAGGGTAGAGTAGCAATCACTGTTAGGGGGAGAGTTGGGAAAGAGCAGGGAGTGAAAGGTTTAGATTTCTAGTTGTTTATGAGAACTCTCCTAATCACTGCACTGGTCTTCTGGTGATGCTTATCTGTAGGCTTATGTTGTGCTAATTTAAGACATACTTATTCCCTTAAAACATGCTCACAAGTTGAGATACTTTGCCTAAGGGTAAGTACTTACTCAGAAAAGGTGAAAAATCAAAGCTGATGGTTTCACTGTAAGTGAAACCACCGATAGGTACTCTGGTACGGCTCCTTCATGTTACCTAACTCTATTAGACATCAACCAGTCTGCTAACCACTGCTATGTAGCAAAGGTGGAGATCACCACCTACCTATGGTCTTCAGAGTGAGGTATCCATATATAAACTCTGCAGTAGCTCTCAGCGGGTTGGTTTTTTAAGGATTCCTTTGTGTAATTCTATGTGACAATGAAGTACTTCTGCTCACTGGGTTCTGATTTTCTCCCTACCACAGAGAAAGCTGTTGCTTATTTTGAAACCAGTGACCAGATTGGAGACAATGAGGAGGCCCTTTTGCTTCAGAGATCTTCATGCAAAACCTTCTGTCATTATGTGAATGCCATCAATACAGCTCCAAGGAACATTGGAAAGGATGGCAAATTCCAAATTCTGGTTTGCCTGGGGACAAGGTACCTAACTGCTCTTTGTTATATGTGTCCTCTTGCATTAAACTAGAAGAATATTTTTACACTGTTGTTAACTACCTTTAGTTTTCCATTTTAAGACATCTCATACCTATCTATTACCCAGTACCTATTTTTGGCAGCTTTAATACTACACAAAAAATTGGAGCAAAGAAGTAATGATACGTGGCTAGTGTCTAAACCACTAAAAATGTTTTGAGCTCTGTTATAACTGTTAGCTTGACAGTCATATGTATTAAATCTGTCTTGAAAATGTATTTTTGATGAAGTGTTTGCTTTGGGAATGCAGAGTTCCTCTGCAAGAGCTGGTGCATTTCTAAATCCTCATTGAATCGCTGCCTATGGAAATGGGACGTCTGTTATAATTTTCACAAAACTATTCTAGATTAGTCTTTCTTTCCTAATAGGATGCTTTCTGTCTTGCACTTGGGGAGGGGCAAGGGCGGGGCCTTAGTTGTATTTTGGAGGGTGGAAGTTGGTGTGCATACAAATAAGTACCATTTTAGTCTTGTCTGTCTGGATACATGGAAAACCAGCTGGAAAACACTCTATTGTTTTTTTCCTGAGTTTTACTTTTCCTGTTCCTGATCTGAAAATGTTGCTGAATTCTTCCAAAGTCAGTTGTCCAATTCTGCTGATACCTTTCCATCTTCCTTCCCACAGTATGTTCAGTTACCTGTAGTTTACTACCGAAATCAAGGGTTATGATTACACAGGAATCTTTTATGTGCAAACAACATCAATCACCTGCAAAAAGAGACTGCCTATTTTGGGTTGTGTTCTTGGAGAAGAATTTTGGTTTGAGATCTGTTGTACGTGGTGCTAAAATACTTCCTTTCGTCACCTTTGCAGGGACCACTTGCTTTCTCAGTGGATCCCGCTGTTGGCAGAGTGCCCACCCATTACAAGGATGTATGAGGAGAATGCTCTCCTACGGGACCGCATGACTGTCAACTCCCTTATCCGAGTTCTACAGACATTGCAAGATTTCAACATCATCCTAGAAGGATCGCTCATTAAAGGAGTGGATGTTTAGCATGGCTTTGCTGAGAACTTCATTATTCCTTTCCCAAGCAAGCAAACCACAATTGGAGACCTGTCAGGACTTGAACGTGATGGTAGTGCACCACTGTAAGGCAAAGCTGCCAGCTGAAGCAGGAGTGGGAAGCCCAGTTTGTGCCCGTTGGGGACTGTCCTCTAAAGCTGCAGAAAGCTAAGATGCAGTATTGTAGTTTATTTGAAACAGAAATTTAGTATAAAATAGAGTATTTTCATGTGTTAGATGTGTGTAAATACGCTATCTTCTTTAAGAAATTATATTACTCTAAGAAATTTTTCTTAGACTGAATGTTATTGTTCTGACTATGAGTAGCTTAAACCCAGGGGAAGGACCGAGGTGGGAAGGGATGCCGCTACTTGCTTGCAAGGAAGAAGCCAATCAACATGTAAATACAGCACAAACTCAGCAGGGCTTTTTTCAGGTATTGCAAATTAATACAGCAAATATCCTTATGTAGCCATTGTGATTGTCTCACTCTTGGAATGTTGTAAGCATATGGTGTTTTACCCTACTGTATATGGTCTCTCTTAGTTTTTTGTTTGTTCGAAGACTCAACCCTTTCCATGCACAGAAGTTGTGAGTCGTCATTTTTTTTTCTGTAAGGTCTTTTGTGTCATTTCTGTTGATCTCCAAAAGGGGAGACAAGTGTTGAAATGTTTAAACACTGGAGAGGAGGACTGCTCTCAGCCTCAGAGCCTGAGAGTATGAGACAGCTGTTCAAGCGGTGCTGCTGCAGCCTGAGATCGGGAATGATCGCTTGCTTGACTTGCTCGGTGTGTCCCTTGCCTGTCTAGATGTTCTGATGATTCCCCCTCACCCTCAGTCAGTTTGTGTTGTGGATGACCTTTTTTTTTTTTTCCTGTGTTGAGGAATTTGGTTCATACCAAATTCTTGCTGTACTTGAGAAGAATCATTGCTGTAGAGCCACAGACACCAATGTTGCTGTGCTACTGAACTGTATCAGCTGGTTTTGAAATGCTGACAAGTTATGAGTCTTCCTTTATCCCGCAGAATAAGTGTTCCTAGGAAGTACAGAATCTTTGATCACTTTTTTAATTATTCAGCTACAAAAAAAAAAAAGGAATGAAGCAAAAGGAGGTAAAAAAAGAATCTCACTTTGATATTTTGAGGCTTCTCTCCTACACTGTTTCAGTTACTGTGTTACTAATACAGCACGTATATATAGATACAGCTCTTAAAGAGGAACTGGGAGCAACTGAAATCCTGTATGCTAAAAATTTAACAAGAGATTACATTAAAATCTTGTGGATACCATGCAGCAAATATGGAGTGTATCTTCCGTTCTTGTGGATGACAGTTGGAAGGATCTGAAGGCATAGGTGGCTTCATCTGGTTTTAGGTTTTTTATATTAGTTTAAATATAGGTGTTTAGTTTCTTTTGTTTCTTCCCTATGATCTTGGCCATCTTGTCAGTGGATTTTTATGGATGTCTCACTGTCAGCTGTGGCTTGGGAAAGGCCCCTAACTGGTACTGTAAGTGTATTGCCTTGTACTGTCTTCTCAAGTGGCATTAGGAGGGACCTAGGAATGGTGGGCAGTAGCAGGTCTCAATATAGTGTGCACATGGTGGAGAGAGGGATAAGAGCTAAGGAAACGGAAAGAGGATGAAAATCAGGGTTTGCTTTCTCACCTGCCTTTTGTCAAGCTTCTCTACTTTCCTGTGGTCCTTCTGCTGTCCAGTTCTTATAACAGCACTCACTTTAGCGTCAAAGTTTCACACAGTATTCCCAGCCAGAAGAAAATTCTTTGTGTGACTTTGTTTCATTAGATGGGAGAGTTTTATGTTATAGAAGTTTTTTTGTTTCTAAGAAAGAAGTAAAACAACACTGTCAGGGAGTCATTGACTTTAATGAGGGTTCCAGCTTTTAATAACTGTTCTTTCCTCCTGGGCTTGTACTTCCTTAAACTGACTAAACTCATCCCAAATACTGTAGGCAGCATTGCCATGTTACTACTGTGGGTTTAAGTAGCTAACGTAAAGGCTGTGAATGGTGTCACGAGTTAGTAGCCAGAGCCCATGGCTGTGTGACATCTCTTACGTTTCCAGAAATGTGACATTTGGGGTGTTAGGGTTTTCTGTGTGGCCAGGCAAGTCTGCTTAAAGTCAGCAGAAGATGCATGACAACCCTTCAGCTACAACTGAAAATGTGTCCCTAGTACTTAACTCTATCAGTAAATTATACATTTAGCACCAGAAACCATGTGGCAGCATTATTTGGTAATGACTGCTTAGGATGTTTTGATTTCTACTATAACTCAGGCCTTTTATGTCTAATGATTGCTATACATGATTTTTTCACGCCCAACCCAGTTTAAGTGACTTTCATTTTACTGAAATAATAACCTCTTTAGTCCTTGGATTTCTTCACAACATCATCTGCATTTGCTAGCTGGATACTTCTCAAAAGTATACTGCTGCGTAGTTCTCCAAAGACTATTTATGACTTAAGCAGTTGTAACATTCGTCCAACATGACACGGGTGAAGTGCAAGCAGGATAAAGTAGAAATGTGGGCACCTCTAAAGTTCAAGCATAGATGAATAAACCACACACAGGGAAAAGGGCAATAACTACGTAAAGTCTTTCTTAAGTTAAAAGAAGTCAAAAGCTTGAGAAATTTTAAAATTCAAAACAGGGCCTTCCCCCATTTCAAACTACATTAAGGAACCTTTAGCACTTAACTTTAACACACCTTCACATCAGCTTTTTCAGCAAGTGTTGACTTGTTTGGTTTTGTCAGGTTTCACATCATATTAATAATAATACAATAAATATTACATATGTCTAATATTTCCTTGTCAGCAATAAAACACCCTAAGATATGTTGAAAGGGGCACAGCTGAGTGTCTCGCATTCCTAGAAGACTGGTTATTTGACAGCCTTGGGAGTATGTTTCTTTGTAGTGAATTTTTATTCTACCATGTATGATTTATTTTTTTAGTAGACTACTTTTGTTTATTGGAAACTGTGAGGTTTTTTTCTGTAAGGTTTACAGAAATCATTCTACCCACTATAATGGTGAGAAACCCATCTGGATTCTTCTAAGCTAACACAGTTTTTATTTCAGTGTTAAAGCACCTTCTTTGGTTGAGAAAGGGAATCTTGGAAAAGACCAAAGTTCTCTGGTATCTGCTTTTTTTTTTTTTTTTTTTTTTTAAAAAAAATCCTATCCAATACCCGTCTGCCGATGTCTGAGTTTGCATAGTCCTGTTATACTAACATCCAGTGTGGTAACTTGAGGGAGTCAGAGAATCAAATGCCTCACTATGTACAATATGTGTATTTATAATTCTCTGAAACAAATTAAATTCTACTGTTTAGTGAAAAATCTACTCACGTTTATTTCGAGTTGGTTTGTGTAATTAGATATCAGTGTTCAAAAATGTCTTTTTAGAATAGTTGTACAACAGCATATTTGAGAAAATTCCTTCTTTCAATCAAATTAAGGTGCGCATCTTAAGGGGAAATATTGTATGTTACACCTGAAATGTAGAAATGTGCCCTGTATAGCTTAAAATGATCCGTAAATGTCTCCATTAAGTATATTTTGTCTTTACATTATCACTAACTGAATAAGAACTGGACTATTTTCAAGACGGCATTAGTAAAAGTATTGTTATATCAAGCACTTTAACATACATACCACAAACTGACATGGGTTTTTCAGGTTTTGGAGTACATTGAAATACAGCTTTTCATGCTATGTCCTTTACAAATAAAACTGTGAGAATAATGGTTGGTGTCATTTTCTCCTTGCAGAGGAACCAAGAGATTCGAGTCTCAAGCCAAAGAGCTGGTCTGAACCTGGAGGGCATGTTTCATAAAGGGAACAAGTTGAACAAAATGATTCAGCTGATGGTGATTCCTGGTACTGGGAACTTGCTGGAGCAAAGAGAGGGGGCAAGGGTCTGCTCTCAAACCCAGCCCTTCTGCCTCCCCTGACACAAAAGCCTGACTGTGCTGAGCCTGACCATGCCAAGCCTGACCAGCTCTTCATTTTCAAGGCTTAGGTGGAAAGTGTGGCTGATTGAAGAGAAGAAATGGGATCATGGTGAAGTTTATCTCTTACCAGGGTGGTGTTTGCTAGGCAACCTGGGTTGCCCTCCCTTAGTATCTGGAGTGCATGGGGAGGAGTGGGGAGAAGCTGGTGGGATCCTTTCGGCAGCAAAATGGAAAGCATGAGATTAAGTGCAGCCAAGGGTGTCTTTCCTCTCTTGATATGGGTTGCTCTGATATATGAACTCAGGGTTAAAAAGCTGGAGTGAAACTCATGCCCTTCAGTTTGTCAGTTAGCATGTCCCATAAGAAGAGAGGTTGATAGAGAAGAGAGGGATGGGTACCTGCAACAGAAAAGGTGCAAAAGAATGATAGCGAAATGCACTGCTTAGTAATGAAAGGCTTTTCTAAGTTGGACTGGATTTTCAGAAATTCCCCCCACCCTGTTCCTCCCAGCTCTAGCTCTGCTGGAATTGGCAAAAATATGAGAATTTTTGAAAATTGCATAGTTGAAATGCAGTTCCCTGCATATGTGTGTATGTGTGCATGGTGTGCGTGAGGTGGGGCATGTCTGTGAATTCATTTTAACTCTTTGTTTGAAAAGGCAGAGAATCTCAGGAGAGGACTGAAAGTCTCAGAGCCTGGGATTATATATGTGGGAATCCTGAAATACATCATTCGATGATACTGATGTTTATCAACAGCGTAGCAGCAAAATTATAGGATCCCATAAATGTGAATAAAATCCATAGAGCTGCTTGTGGTCAAATTTCAGTAGGAGGAGTGGCCATACTTAATACATCTCCTTACTAAATGCGTTAGGCTTAAGTATGTAAATTAGAGATAGTGGGATGTGACATCTTAAAGGCAGTAAGTACTTGAAGTAAAGCGGGACTAAACTTGTCCAGATATGGAAGTGCAAATAATTTCCTCTCCGCTGTGCTGTCATTGATGCAGTCTGGGAACACTACAATGTTTTCTGCAAAGGGTTAGTAGAAGAAAACTGAAAAAAACTTGCATGGGTAGGAGTTGAAATAGCTTACCGATCTAGTTTGTTCCTTTCTAGCATTTCAGGTAAGCTCGTTGGAAAAAATAGTGCACAAGTTAACAGCGAAGCTGCTTCCCCGTCTGTCATCCCATCATCTCAGAGGTTGAGGCTCCTGTCATTGCAGTCAGGGAGCATTTCATTGCCAGCATTCCTATTTTCTCTCCTGCTGTTCCATCAGACATGTATCATTATAAGCTGGTTTGAGCTCAGCACAGGATGTGAAAGGAACGGCAAGATTTCTGTATGGGTCTGCTATCTGGTGGCTGGTTAAGGTAAGCTATCTGCCGAAGCCACTGTGGAGCTGATCTGTCAGTGGAAAGCCGTAGTTGTGCAGGAAAGCTTGACACTTTAATGGGCCCATCTGTATTTCCCACAGACCTCGCAGGGCATCTCAGCTCCTCTGAACAACTGTCAGAAGAGGATGTGACCAGACAAATTA